GGGGAGGGGCCGTCAGTGAGGAGGGGAGTGGCCATCAGTGGAGAGGGGAGTGGCCATCCGCGCAGAGTGCAAGGAGGGGAGGGGCCATCATTGGGGAGGGGAGGGGCCATCAGGGAGGGGCGGGGCCGTCAGTGAGGAGGGGAGGGGCCGTCAGTGAGGAGGGGAGTGGCCATCAGCGAACAGCACAGAGAGGCAAGGGGACATCAGCAAGCAGAAAAGGGAGGGGAGGAGCCATCAATGAGGAGAGAATAGAGGAGTGGGGTGGGCCAATAAGTAGAACAGAAGCAAGGATTTGATTTAGAGAGCGTAAGGGAGGCTGTGTCTCTTTATATGTTTTTGATATATGTTATGATATATGATATACATGTGGCCTTAAAGGAGACCATGGCAGTACTAACAGAGCATTCACCGCCCCCAGGCTGATCCAGGAAGAGAAGGAGAGCACGGAGCTCAGAGCCGAGGAGATTGAGAGCCGAGTCAGCAGTGTGGCTCTCGACGGGCCCCCTCTACCACCCACCTCACTGGGTGGGGGTCGGGATGGCTCAGGAAGGGGCTTCATCCCTTCTTCACTCACTTCCTCCACACTGGCTTCCCCCTCCCCCCCCAGCTCTGGGCACTCCACCCCCCGGCTGCCTCACTCGCCAGCCCGTGACAATGACAGACAGGTGAGTCTGAGTGTGTGTATTCGCTGCATGTGCATGTTTCTGCGTGTGTCAGTGTTTTTCACCGCAGCGTGATGCCATGATGAGGTCCCCTGTCAGCAATGCTTTGCACAGGAAGTTACGCGGCCCTTGATGTGTGTGGTGTTAGATGTATCTCAGCCCTGAGGTAACCCAAGGTCTTCCCTAAGAACAACAAAGAGGATGAGAAGGCCCTGGCTCTGCTGGACAGTGCCCCCCCCGCAGCCCCCCGCGCACTGCGGCTGGACAGAATGACACACACACACCCAGGGGCTCTGCTTGAGGACAGCCGCGAGTTTCGCAGGTTGGATGGCATTAGAATATGGAGCAAAATTCAGAAGAGAGAGAGTCAGGCAGAGTGATTGATGTACACCGCAAAAGCAGGCAGACAGGCTGATAGTCATATACTATTAAAGCAGACAGACATGCTGACCATCGTACACTGTTAAATCAGACAGATAGGCTGATGGTCATCTGCCGTTAAGGCAGACAGGCAGACAGTCATACGCTGTTAAAGCAGACAGACAGGCTGACAGTTGTACACTGTTAAAGCAGACAGACAGGCTGACAGTTGTACACTGTTAAAGCAGACAGACAGGCTGATGGTCATACACCATTAAAACAGAAAGACAGACTGATAGTTGTACAGACAAACAGGCTGATGTTTGTACACCGTTAAAGCTGATAAGCTGAGGGTTGTACACTGTTAATGCAGACAGACAGGCTGATGGTCGTACACCATTAGAGCAGACAGATTTGTTCTGACTGTAGGATCATGTCTTTGTCCCCCAGTCTGTCAGTAGACAGCAGCAGCACCAGCAACATTCAGGACGCACTGCACAAGTCCAGCAAGAAGAAGAGCATCAAGTCTTCCATCGGCCGACTTTTTGGGAAGAAGGAGAAGGGGCGTCTGGGGCCCCCTGGCCGCGAGTCTGTGTCTCTGGGTCAGTATGAGTGGGTGGGGTCATCGGCGGCCCTCGCTGAATGCCAGTGCGGATCCCAGGGGAGCTACTGTATATCTAACATGATGACTTATTTATGCCATTTCTCACTATACTACAACTGACACGGCCACCTCCTTATAGCTGTGCTTTGATCTATGAGCAGCTTAGCTGCCATTCGCTGTCAGGTCAGGTTGCAGCTTTGGGTAAGCAGGTGCCTCCTGTGCTCTTCAGCCTCCACTCCCTCAGAGGAGCAGGCTTCAGTGGACCCACTGGGCCTGACCAAGCTGACTGGACCTGTGGATAAAGACCGGCGCAGCAAGAAGAAGTGAGTCGGGAGTCCCGCCACCATTGTAGCTCACCTGTTTGACAGCTGAGCCTCGTAGTAGTGAAGACCTCCTCCTGTCTTCTCCTCAGGCACGAGCTCCTGGAGGAGGCGTGTCGCCAGGGCCTCCCCTTTGCATCCTGGGACGGCCCCACAGTGGTGTCCTGGCTGGAGGTATGGAAACTTAGGGAGTGGAACTTCCGGGCCTCAGTTGCCTGTGTGGCATGACGGCAAGTGGACCCCCTCCTGCTCTCGCCCGCAGCTGTGGGTGGGCATGCCCGCCTGGTACGTGGCCGCCTGCCAGGCCAACGTGAAGAGCGGCGCCATCATGGCCAACCTGTCGGACACGGAGATCCAGCGCGAGATCGGCATCAGCAACCCACTGCACCGGCTCAAGCTGCGCCTGGCCATCCAGGAGATGGTGTCCCTCACCAGCCCCTCGGCCCCCGCCAGCACACGCTCGGTGAGCACAGGGGGGGGGGGGGGGGGGATCCAGGGCTCCTCTTAGTGCTCTGGGGCTCATTGAAGATCAGTCAGAAGTCAGATTGGTCTCTAGTCCAGTGTTTCCCAACCCGGTCCACGGGAACGCACAGATGACCCATGTTTTTGCTCCCTCCCAGTTCCCAGTCTGTGTTTACATTTACATAGATTCATTTAGCAGATGCTTTATGGGACTGAGCTCCCAGTGAGTGACCAGAAACTCGAGAGAGATTCCAATGAGCTGCACAGACAATCAGAAAACCTAACGTCAGAAAAACCTTAAATTAAGCTCCACAAGAGACAAAAGAGCAGAGCATACAAATGTTCACCAGACAGCTGTCCCATCTTCAGCAGCATGTAGTTAGAGTATAGATATGTACTGTTATAGTAATATTGTCTTCTTCCATGTTCTTGTCAAAATGGCACAATTTGATTGGCTGCTTGCCTCCTGACACATGACCACAGTCAACCGGCAACGTGTGGATGACTCATGCGGAAATGGAGTCACTGACTACAGCCAGCAAACCTGTGAGTCTGTCTGCCTGTTTTCCATTGCCTGACCGCGTTGTGATTCCCAGCATCCCCAGTAACAGCAGGGAATGGCAGCCAGAAGCACCTGAGTTTAAAGCACCACTGTACTGTTGTAAGCAGCCAGCCACCAGTAATGTACATTAATAAATATCTCTTTCTCTCTTTCTGTCTTATTAGGCCTTAGTCTTGAACTTCTCTCCTTTCCCTCTAGCTCTGTTTAAATGTGCTTATTTCCAACTAATTATCTGTTTATTAACAAACAAATCCTCCCCTTGTCTTCCTTCCCCATCCTTTTCCTCAATCAACATGTTTTCTCCCCTCCCTGGTCCTCTCTGTCTCTTTCTCCTTGTTGTCCTCTTCTCTGTCGTTCTTTCACCCGTCTACCACCAAGGAGGGGAAAGAGATCATCTGGGATCAGGTGAGTGTATGAGGGCAAAGCACAAGCAGGATATTCAGACTTGCTGAAGATGCTTTTCTCTTTTCTCCTCTCCAGTGCGCCCTCTATCTACCCCTTATACTCTCTTCTATCCTCCTTCACCATTTCCCAATATTTTCTTCAAAATTAACAATTTAATTCCCCTTCCACTAAATCTGCCCTCTGTCTTCCTTTCACGATGCTCCTCCCACCTCTGACCCCTGATCTCTGCCCTCTGAGCAGATCCTGGCTTATGGAGACATGAACCACGAATGGGTGGGGAACGAGTGGCTGCCCAGTCTGGGCTTGCCGCAGTACCGCAGCTACTTCATGGAGTCGCTGGTGGACGCCCGCATGCTGGACCACCTGACCAAGAAGGAGCTGCGTGGCCAGCTCAAGATGGTGGACAGCTTTCACAGGTGCGGTCCTCGTAGCTGCCGTGTCTGAGACTATGGCACATTGATCCCCTTGAGATGAGACTCACCCTCCTTCCCCCCACCCTCCAGGGTCAGCCTGCACTATGGCATCATGTGTCTGAAGCGGTTGAATTATGACCGTAAGGAGCTGGAGCGGAGGAGAGAGGCGAGTCAGCAGCAGAACAAAGGTGCGTCGGCCCTCTCTGCCCTGCCAGAGTGACACACGGGACCAAAAACAGGCTGGCATTCAGCCTCAGAGTTTTGAGTGCATTCTGGGAGGGGGTGGAGGATGGGGGGGGGCGCAATGACACCGACAGATCACAGAGCACAGTAGGTGTATTCGATGATGTCATTAGATTAGCTATAATGATGATGTTCTTACCATGGTCACCCCTAACACCTGTCTCCCCCCACCAACAGATGTGATGGTGTGGTCCAATGAGCGTGTGATGTGCTGGGTGCAGGGGGTGGGGCTTAAGGAGTACGCAGACAACTTGGCAGAGAGTGGGGTGCACGGGGCGCTGCTGGCGCTCGATGACACCTTCGACTACACGGATCTGGCCCTGCTGCTGCAGATTCCCAACCAGAACACGCAGGTGAATGTGGGCCACCTTCTCACACCATCTCTACACACCATCTCTACACACCACCTTCTCACACCATCTCTACACACCACCTTCTCACACCATCTCTACACACCACCTTCTCACACCATCTCTACACGCCACCTTCTCACACCATCTCTACACGCCACCTTCTCACACCATCTCTACACGCCACCTTCTCACACCATCTCTACACACCACCTTCTC